GACAAACACAAAAAATCAACAAACAATAACGAACCGAACAAAGATCCGACGATCAACGAGAATCAATAGCCGAGCATGGTATATATTCAGCGAATAACACGAATACGCAAAAATAAACCGAAAAGGTTCGAAAGAATTTACCCGTCTTCGGGAATTTATGAGAAATCGAGAAACACGGTTCGGAACAAGATGGGACGAACGGAGCCTCGACGGGACTCGAAACTCTGAACACTGGGACCGCTTGCAAACAGCTACTCGCTGGAGGTGGAAGGCTTCGTCGGAGAAGACACCGGAAAGAATGGCAGACGATTGCCGCTGCTATGAACTCCGGCGATGACGGTTTCTGTTGGGGACTCTGGCGATGGGCGGCTGCTCGAAGAAGGGACATCAGCGACAAAGCTCTCGCCGGAGACAATGATGAAGGCAGAGGTTCAAGCGATTAGCAGGTTCTTGATTTTTTTTTTTTTTGAACGATGAATCAGAGAGAGAGGGGAGAGATAGGGGAATGATTCTGATTTTTTAAAAACCCAACTGATAATTAAGTAGGCGAGAGAGGGGGAGAACGTGCGACGGGCGAGCAAAACTATCCAAAGGATCACAACAGAATCACGAACGATGACCGAGTCTCTGGGAGAAGAAGGAGAAGATCTGTTGTTGGCGCAAGGATGAAGGAGCAGGCCGATTAAATTATCTTGGGCCACGATAATACTAGACATTGGGCCAAAGGCATTACTCAAGTTGGGCCAACATATTAATATCATTTGGGCTAAAAAAAAAATAGTAAAAAGGCCAATATAAAAGCATAGCAATTGGGCTAGGATTTAATCACCCGAGTGGACCGGAAATAAATATACGCGATAACCAAGAATTTCCGCTCGATCCGATTTAATAGAATATGGCCCGAAATAAATAAATAAAATCAGATTATTTATATTTATAATACACGCAATATTTATTTATATAATAATAGGCATTTAAAACAATTAGACATTTAATCACAAATAAATATTTACTAATAATAATAATAATAATAATAATAATAATAATATAAATAAGCAATAATAATGGCAATAATAAACTAATAATTAATCTCAAATAATTCAAATTCAAACGGGGCGTTACAGTCTGCCCACCTTACAAAGAATTCCGTCCTCGAAATTCGAAAATAAAACTAGAAAGCGATAAAATACAAAGGAGAACTCAGAACTCAAAGTTCGGATAACGCCTCCTAATACCGTCCTCCCTTTCCCAAGTCGCCTCGGTCTCATCTTGTCGGCTCCACAGCACCTTCACCAAGCTCACTGCCCGGTTCCTCAGCTGATGGACCTTCCGGTCCAGGATAGCAACCGGCACCTCCTCATAGGTAAGGTATCGCTTGACCTGCAGCTCGCCGAAGTCCACCACATGATCAGGATCGTGCACATACCTCCGAAGCATCGAGACATGGAACACGTCGTGCACACCCGACAAGTCTGGTGGTAAAGCCAGCCGATACGCTAAGTTCCAACCTCGATCAAGGATCTTGAACGGCCCAATATAGTGAGGTTTAAGCTTCCCTTTCTTTCCGAAGCGAATAACACCTCGCATGGGTGAAACCTTCAGGAAGACATGATCTCCCACAGCATAAACATGCTCCTGTCTCTCCCGGTCAGCATAGACCTTCTGCCTCTCCTGGGCAGACCTGATGGTCTTTCGGATCTCCTCAACGGTCGATGCAGTACTCTGGATAAAATCCGGACCTGTAATCCTCCTCTCTTCAACCTCATCCCAATTCAAAGGAGTCCGGACCTTACGTCCGTACAAAGCCTCGTACGGGACCATCTTGATCGAAGGGTGGTAGCTGTTGTTGTAGGTTAGCTCGACTAGCGGAAGGGCATACTCCCAAGTCAAGCTTCGGTTCAAGACTACAGCCCTCAATATATCCTCCAAGTACTGGATCACACACTCCGACTGACCATCTGTCTGGGGGTGAAAGGCTGTACTGAACTCCAACCTTGTCCCCATGGCTCGGTGCAACATCTTCCAGAACTGGGATGTGAACTTGGCATCTCGATCCGAAACAATCTCCACGGGCACACCATGAAGCTTAACAATGTCCTTGACGAACAATTCGGCGTAATCACTCGCCTTCATGGTCGTCCGGACTGGCAGAAAATGGGCAGATTTCGTAAGGCGATCCACTATCACCCAAATCGAATCATACCCGCTCCTCGACCTTGGCAGTCCCACTAAGAAATCCATGGTGATGCACTCCCACTTCCACAGGGGAACCTCAAGGGGCTGCAACAAACCTCTCGGTTTCTGGCGCTCAGCCTTCACTTGCTGACACACCAGGCACCCATCCATGAACTTCGCTACCTGCCTCTTCATGCCTCGCCACCAGAAAGACTTCCTCAGGTATTGATACATCTTCGTGCTACAAGGATGGATGGTGTACGGGGCACTATGGGCCTCCCTCAAAATCTCTCTCCGCAGTTCCCATACTCTCGGAACACAAAGTCTACCCTCGAAGACCAAGGCCCCATCAGATGCGACTGCGAATCCACCAACTCTACCGGCTTCTGACAACTCCCTCATCCGGCATAGGAAACAGTCATTCGGTTGCTCGGCGACTATCCTCTCTCGAAGAGTCGGTCCCACAACCAAAGAGGCCAATACGCCCCCGGCTGTCGAAGTCGACTCCACTGCCTCCAGCTGTAATCGCTCGAACTCCCGAAGAAGAACATCCTGCCCGGTGAATAAGCAAGACAGCCGGCCATAACTCCTCCGGCTAAGGGCATCGGCTACCACATTAGCTTTCCCTGGGTGATAGCTAATGGTGCAGTCGTAGTCCTTGACCATCTCCAACCACCTACGCTGCCTCATGTTCAGCTCCTTCTGAGTGAAAATGTACTTCAGGCTCTTGTGGTCGGTAAAGATCTCACACTTGCCTCCATAGAGGTAGTGCCGCCAAATCTTCAAGGCGTGGACAACTGCAGCTAACTCCAGATCATGAGTGAGGTAGTTCTGCTCATGAGGCTTCAGCTGCCTCGAAGCATAAGCTACGACTCTCCCTTGCTGCATGAGAACACAACCCAAGCCCATCTTCGAAGCATCACTATAGATCGTGAACTCCAAAGTAGGGTCGGGTATAGATAGGACGGGCGTGGTAGTGAGTCTCCTCTTCAACTCCTGGAAACTCTCCTCGCACTTCTGACTCCAATCAAACCTCACGGCCTTCTTCGTAAGGTTGGTTAGTGGCTGGGCTATCTTCGAGAAGCCCTTGATAAACCTCCGGTAGTATCCTGCTAACCCCAGGAAACTACGAACATCAGCGGCACTTCTTGGCGTATTCCACTTGCTCACCGCCTCGATCTTGCTGGGATCCACCTCAATGCCTCTCGCTGTCACAATGTGGCCAAGGAACGCCACACGGTCTAACCAGAACTCGCATTTCGAAAATTTTGCATACAACTTCTCGCGGCGAAGAGTCTCCAGCACAATCCTCATATGCTCCTTGTGCTGGTCGATGCTCCGAGAATAAACCAAGATGTCGTCGATGAACACGATAACAAACTGGTCCAGTAAGGGATGAAAGACCCTATTCATAAGGTCCATAAACACGGCCGGGGCATTGCTGAGTCCGAACGGCATGACTACGAACTCATAGTGGCCACAACGGGTACGAAAGGCAGTCTTAGAAATATCCGACTCCCGGATCTTCAACTGATGATAGCCAGACAGCAAATCGATCTTCGAGAAGACACTGGCTCCTCTCAGTTGGTCGAAGAGATCCTCAATACGGGGAAGGGGGTACTTGTTCTTGACTGTAAGGGTATTCAGCTCCCGATAGTCAATACACATGCGCATTGATCCGTCTTTCTTTTTCACGAATAGGACGGGCGCACCCCACGGCGAAACACTTAGCCGAATAAAACCGAGTTTGAGCAATTCCTGGATCTGGGCCTTAAGCTCTTGAAGCTCCTTCGGCGCCATACGATAAGGGGTCTTAGACACGGGGCCAGCTCTCGGTAATAAGTCAATAGTGAACTCCACCTGGCGGTCGGGTGGTCCTCCGGGCAGCTCATCGGGAAAAACATCAAGGAATTCGCAAATAATAGAAACTCACTCCGGAGTCCGCTCGGAATCATCCTCGGACACCATAGAAATAAGAAAGCCTCGGCAACTACCCTTGGCAAGGCTCTTCCTAGCTTGCATAGAAGAGATGACTCGAGGCACAGTCCTCGACTTCACCCCAAAGAATACAACCGGCTGATCAGAAACGGGAAAAATAGTGACTTCGCGCTCCTGGCACCGGATGTCGGCTCGATAGCGGGTGAGCCATTCCATGCCCAAGATCACATCAAAGTCTCGCATTTCGATCACATAAACACTGGCCTCCAAAATGTGCCCACCAATACTGACTGGAAGACTGAGAATCGTAGAATCAGAAATAATAGTCCTTCCCGAGGCTAAACTAACCTCGAGAGGGTCACATGGGCACACATTACTAATGGACAAAGCCTCCAAGCAACGAGAGAAATAAAGGAATGAGTGGCTCCGGTATCACATAAAGCATATACAGGCACGTTGGATATCGAAAGCATTCCGGACATAGTACCTGCGTTGTTGGCTGCCTCATCATGATGATGGTATACACGCGGGCCTGACCCCCAGCCCTCTGCTGGTAAGGTGGGGGCTGTCTGGGCTGCTGCTGATGGGGTGGAGGTGGAAGTTGCTGCTGCTGCTGCTGAGGGTAGGGTGGCTGCTGCCGTGGCCTCTTCGGCTCGGGGCACATATGCGAAAATGTCCGACACGGTGGCAATTGAAACAGTGTCTGTCGGCTGCTCGGCACTCTCCTGGCCCATGGAACTTGCCGCAGTTAGGGCACCTCGGAAGTTGTCCCTGAGGGGGTCGGTCGTCATGCCTCCCGAAGTTCCCTTTCTTTCCTTTCTTCTTGTTCTGATGGTAGTCGGCCTTCCTCTTGCCCGAATTAGAACCGGGCGCAACAGCTGAGATAGGCTGAATCATAGGGGTCTGCTGATAGGATGGGGCAGTCGTCCTCTGGGCATTCTGGCAAACCTCCAACTCGGTGGCTCGACGGACCATCTCGGAGTAAGGCAGAGCTCCGTGGCCAGTCAGGGTGTAACAAAGGTCGGGGCGAAGACCATCACGGAAACGAAAGGCCTTCTTCTGGTCGGTATCCACGAGCATCGGGGCAAATGCGCACATACGAGTGAAGTTGCGCTCGTAGACATCCACGGGACGGGGTCCCTGCTTGAGCTCCCAGAAGTCCTTCAGCATCTAGGCACGGTGAGCCTCTGGGTAGTACTTGTCCTTGACTATAGTAACCATCTTGTCCCAAGTCAAGGCATCCCTCTCAGCACGAGGACAAAGCCTCCAATAGTCATTCCACCAAGTCCTAGCATCTCCGGTCATCACGAACGAGGCACAACGGATTTTCACCTCATCAGTGGTGAACAACATATCAAAGATACTCTCCAGCTGCTGAAGCCATTCAGCCACAACTTCGGGGCCATCAACTCCGTTGAACGCCGGAGGATGCATGTCACGGAAATCGATCACAGCTTGGGTAATGGGATCTCTACCCGGAGCATGCTGATGAGGAGGAGGAGGAGGCGGGGGAGGTGGTTGCTGCTGATAGCTATTGCGGGTTTGACGAGCCATTTCCCTACATTTAAAAATGAGCCGCAAAGATTTAGCACAAAATAAAAGAAGTCTAGAGTTCGACCCTAGAGTTCACATTTTAAAGGTGGATAAAACCTAACCCCAAATATTAGCAATACATTTTTCACGTATAAAAAAAAATGCTCTCACATCTCTCTAGCTCTCTCTCTCTAGAAACCCCATCCCCTTCCTTCCACCCAAACCCTAACTTTGTTTTCCCGATCATCTTTCCCAGTTAGCCTCGCCGGAGTCCGTCGCCGGCGGCGAGCCGCCCGTTCTCGGGTGGTCGGCCAGCCATTCATAATGTCCTCCCCTAGTCATCAGCCTGCGACAGTCTGTTCGACCGGTTCTCTAGCACAGACCA